GTTGATTTTTAATGATTAATATTTGTTTCCAAACGGCATTTTTTGTTAATTTTATATGAATCGATAAATACTTACAGAATCGTGTCTCTAATTAGCCTGGCAACGTCGTTCTTATAAATCTGTAGTATTAATACCAATAATTGCTAGAAAAAAACCCGCTAGATCGAGATTGTGGTACTAGAAACTTTGCTTCTTACTTTTTATAATCCCGATTCTAAATGCATCAGTGCTACAGATACTGAGAGACATCGTAATGGCATACAAAAAAAACGTCGTATTGCAATCTCTATCCAGACTCTACCACCGCTGGAAGCAAGAGCGTAATGCGGAAGATACCAGAAAACTAGCGGTTGCACTTTTTCATTAAATAATTGTGCAGTTATGGAACAAATGTCCGATTAGTTATCGACTGATTTAAACTTACAGACATATTTATTTCTCATAAAGTAAAGTTATCGAAAACCTTACTTAACCAAAGTAACGTTAAATAAATGACTCTAAGTCTGTAGAAGTAATAACGACTCTAAGTTAAAAACCAACCCCGTTTAAAATGCTTTACATTTTCTTTAGTTTTAACAATGATAAAAAATACAAGATAAATAGATTTTGCGCCAACGTCGCATCCCTATTAAACCCATTTGGCGAGTGTAGTGTTTTATTTATTTTAGCACTTCCATTAGCGTGATCTGAATCCGAGAACACTTGGAGTTGACTTGTTTACTCACTTTTAAAGTAAATTGCACCGCATTAATGCAACTTCAAAGAGTCTTCTCATTTAGTTTGAGGTTGCAAGTTACACGCCTCGCTTTCTTAATGTTTTCATTGTACACTTATTTATGACGGCTTAAATTTTGTATAAAGTTTGAGTGTTATTTACGTAGAATTTTATGCTTTGAAGATACGCGAAATCGTTGAATTAATGTTGATTTTCTTGTCGTAAGAGCAGTGTTGGCCTACTGGCTATAGCGTGCGACTCATCCCTGAAGTCGTAGGTTCAATCCCCGGCTGTGCACCAATGGACTTTCTTTCTATTTGCGCATTTAACATTCGCTCGAACGGTGAAGGAACATGTCTTCGACCCAAAAAGTCGACGTCGTATGTCAGGCACTGGAGGGCCTGCCAGGCATTAGATTAAAAAATGATCATGAAACAGATTCAGAAGTCTGAGGCCTAGCCAAACCTAAAGAGGTTGTAGATTAATTCTACAAATTTATAGATTAACAAATTATCTTTTAATTTGTTTTTTCTTTCCTCGGTATTATTTTACCCAAGTGACTTTTTGTTTAACGGTAACAGACCGTTGAAAACCCACTCTATAAACAATAAGTCACAATAAAAAACACTCTGCGTGTATGTTTTCATTACGGTTTCTATGGGTCTAATTAAAAAGCTACAATGGGCACTAAAACCCAGACAGTCGAATTAAGTTTTCCTGAATTTTCCATTTTCCAAATACAACGTGAAACGAAACAAAAGGCGGTTCAACGAGGCCCTCTGAATTTTTTAGCGCTCAGAGATGGCTCAGCTATTTACATAAAATTATTCCTATCGGGTTCCACAATTCTCACTTGAAACAAAAGAATATTTGCGGTATCTTGTAGGGTTTACATATGTTATACAATGGAAATGTTTTGAGCGATAAAAAGAACCACAGAACTATATTTCGGTATTAATCGGTTTCATTTTATAGAAAGAGAATTATGATTCCATCCTAAATGTTATGACGGGTGTATTGCATTTTCTGCGCATTAGTATGCATAGTTATGACATTGGAATCAGCGGCCAATCAAGATTTATCAACACAATATGACAAAAGAGCCTTCAATAAAGTTTCCGTAAAGATTCGTCCATGGGCGTGGCATTATTCCTGAGTTATAACAGACTATATTTATATCAAATAATATATCAAAAATAATAAATCCATCCGCTATGCGACCGCTGCGGTTTAACAACGATGTATCTTGAACTTAAACGAAAGAGCTTAATAGATACAGCAAGGGTAATATCGGACGCGCTTTTTCTTAAAATAAGTTAAGTTAAAGTTTGGCAACCCTATCAAGGGTCACAGAAAGGGCGACTCTTCAACAAATAACGTGTCATGAATCATCTCTAAGGGTCAGCACAAAGGATCGCTTAGCGGTAGCCGTCTTTGCAAAACATTCTTAATGGAACTATGCTGGAGAAACTTTTGACGTCCAAGTTGTCGTAAATCATCAGTAACAAGATTATAGTGTGGTCGGCACTAAATATATCGTCGAGATATATATGGGGGATGTCTTATGTATAAAATATGAGTTTAGCAACCAATATGTATAAATACGATGTTTTTGGACTACCTGTATTGCTTGGTTTATTTATTATTATTCTATGAAGCGATCGATCAGGGGTGACTGCTTTTGCAGGTATAGAAGGTTTTAAAGATTGATGATCTATTATATTTACAATTTAAGAGATTTATTATTTCCTAACTACTTATTAAATAATATAATTCTCATTATTGTTGGACAAATACCAAATTGTCCGTATTTATTTATTAATATATATTTTAGTCGAATTTGGTATTTCTCTAATTATAACTTATCTATTTATTTATAAAAACACGCTGAAGTTTCCCGAAGGGGAAGGCAGAGACCATGGATCTCTCTCTCTCTCGCTTCATCCACTTTCATGACATTCACCATGCATGCTAGTCGGTTATGGGGATTTTAACTTGAATTCTGTAGTACCTGGATTTGGTCCAGGCCATAACCAATTTCACCATCCACGGTTGCCTATCCTTGTGTTAAATTCCGCCGTTTTACATGGCCAAACCGCCAGCCATCCTTGTATATACATCCTCTTTTACCCTCATCCACGGTTGCCGATAATGTCCATAATGTCACATAAGTGTCAAGTGTCACATAATTCACAATTAACAATTCTCAATTATTATTCTCAGTTCAAAACGTCATCATACAACTAGCCACAAGCGGATAAAACATAAAGTTGCTGTGTATTAGCATTTCGTATTCTTGTCATAACATCCTCTTTTAACCCTCACTGCTCTATATTATACGACACCACACTCATAAATTGTAGTTTCTCATTCTCGTTTCCGATAATGTCCAATTAATTAAATAACATAAGTGTCACTTAGATATACGAACTCTTCAATAAGTCAAGTTAGTTTTTTTTTTAATCCAGCGTCGCAACCCCACTACCCCTAATGATATATTAGTTATAAGCTCATGCTTTAAACAATTAAAGCCAGTTGTTACCCAGCTTCGAACAAAGTGTTTCATTTAATTTATACACATCAATACAACAAACGCCACCAAACTTAATTCGTGTTAGAGAATTATTATTATCGTACGTAATCGATGTATAATAACTATTCTCGATGAACAAACAAATACGTCAATGACAAGGGAACGCAATTAACCAAATAGTAATACAAAGAAAACAAAACAATGCCATATAATCAATGATATATGGGAATATTGTTTTTAGTATAATTAATTGTCTAACTAAAATAAAGACACGAACTTATCAAAACAACGGTATTAGGGAACTTGATAAAACGATTGTTATGTCCAATATGTTGTTTCGTATTCATTCGTTATGTAGATTTGTAACACGAATCATACTCTTTTTTATATTTAAAAAAATATCGTCGTGACAGCATTAGCTATTCTCTTTTTATATATTATATCATTATTACTGCAGCTGAGTTTCGTCATCGGACGTCGAGGCAGAATACGAAATTCCGCCCAACTAGCTGCCCACTGAAGTATTTCCGAATATAAAATTTAAAAAAACTGCTCGTCTGATGAAGGAAAGATAAAAAATTAAGTACCTAGACCCTCCAGCTTATGTAAAGCCATTTGAGAACGAATCTTCAAACACTTTATTATTCACAATTATAAACATATTTGTAATACATTGAGAATTTTCGTGGTTTAGTCGCTTGAACGCTTGAATTATTCAATGCAAATATCGTTATTAAAAAATAGTCTTATTCCTAAGTGTAGATTGCCTCATCTATTTTCCTAATACGTATAAAATAACCAGTTATAAAGTTCTCAACTAAATCATAAAGTAAAAGAGCAAAACGTTTACCCAGTCGACGCCACAGCATATATAGAGTCGCTTACATTCAGGTCACGTAGCAAAGTGATTGTTTGCGTATTACACTGCTCTGTGGAATGTTTGGACAAGGAATTGTGTAGGAATTAAGAAGTCGTTATTTCTGATTAAACCTCTTCTATTCCTCTTATCTTGCGTGTTTAGATTTAATTAGGCAAGCGGTTAAATTTAATTAAATGTTTAACGAGCTTGGCGGAATCACGCAGTTTATTTGTAGATAGTTTGTTACAATTTGCCTTGAAGTTGCACAAAAGTAGAAGTATTAGTTTTTAATTATTAAGGAAAGTTTAAAAAACATTGTTCTTACGTCACAATGATATCAGAAGTGAGAGAGTGTAAAGTGTAATTTAAAGGGGCTAAATACCACCCAACACCTTCCTCTTACCCTATCTTTTGGTGTAATACATATATATTATATATATCTCATATACTCGTATATATACCCTTTCTTTATATGGACTATAAAACACATTAAACCAATCGTATTTGCCGTTCTTGATTTAAACCCGTTGAGGCATACACACTCTTCTTATCGTATTTAAAGGCCGGCACCGCACACACCACAATGGGTGTCCATAACTTTGTTTATCATGCTCTTCATGAGATTTAAGTTTTCAATTAGTTTTGGTTATTATTGTTACCTTCACCCATAAAGAAATTCCGTTCAATGGTACTGACGGAAGTCAGGACATCGAGTAACAAGAAAAAAAAATATTATTATTAACAGCTTTATTATTATTAACATATAATATGTCTATGTCTGAGACAGACTTAAGCGTAAACGAATATCTTTATCCAGAAAACCCCGTCTGACTGCCAAAAATATTTATCATCTAATTATGAAGCCACACCCAAACTCAAGTTAATAATTCCAGGTGTCAACCCGTACCGGCATCGTGTCGCATTATGTCCGACTGCAGATAGTGGTCCCCGAGGCTTTCATCCTGGGATCGGGTGAACATCACGTCGACCTCGGCAGCGTTATACACCTCATATGCATTGTTGAAAAGGTACATTTATTGAGATTATTTATAGAAAGCCACGTTGTGTTAAATTAAAATTTATATTTACGTAAAACGATTGTATCATCAAAAACATAACTCGTAAAAACGCAACTTGTTTACGCATATACGAGTTGGTTTACGGTAAAAAGTTGTGAGATCTATGTAATCCAAGTCGGTTAATTTCAGTCCCTACTTAAAATGTCTTAAATTATTACGTAATTAGCTAACCACCTAACGATATCTAATACTGACAATATCAATATTACAAAATCATTTGTTTTGTTTTTAATATATCAACTTGGCAATCGCACTAAACAATCTAATCGAATAAAAAATGTATTACTTGTGAGATACATTGTGTTGCCATGTTTCAATTCAGGCTTCTAATTTTATCCATAACGAAGTTAAAGGAGGGTCGTAAATGGCCTGAACTGCTTCGAGATAAGGGTGGTATGGCCGAGCCAATTTTTTTGGTCAACTTCGCGGACGCACTACCGCCAGATAACACATTGTAGACAATTTTTTTTACTAGAATTATAAATGAAATAACTTGTATAACACTTATAACTCCTAAGGATAGTTAGTAAACTTCCACAAGAAATGCATGTATGCCCATATTTTATAAATTGATTGATGATACCTGAACAGTTATCTTAATTGGAATATACTCGTACATAATATAATCAAAAGGGAGTTGTGAGTCTCGATATGAGTTATAGTTTATAAGAATTTCGTGGAGATATAAAGTTTAGCAATAAAAGTCCAACAATATTATATAATACCCTAATTTTTATGTCGGCAAATACACATTAACTTGTATTACGCCACTTTAAAAATGTATAGTCTAAAGTTTCAACTGAATTTGTATGTCAATTAATGTAATCAACAAATCTATAATAATTAAATATTCTTATTACATTATCACTGCAGAGTCCGACTCCACCGCAATACGTATTCTGGTACCACAATGACCGCATGATTAACTATGACGCGACGCGAGGAGGTATCACGGTGGAGACAGAGCCGGGAGCAAGAACTCAATCGAGACTTACAGTACGAGGAGCCACATTAAAGGATTCAGGAAATTACACTTGCAGTGCGAGTAATACCGAGCCGGCGTCTATACACGTTTTTGTATCGGAAGGCAGTGAGTATTCTTTAATTACAAGTTGCTCTTATGTGTATAGAAATTATATATTACAGTATAATAGACGCATAGTGCTAAGTTAACATTTGGAAAATATCGCCCTGTAATCTTTAACTTACAGATACAAAAGTAATACTTTTAATAGACAATAAACATGATTAACTTGAAAACAAAATACATTTATTAAATAAAATACATAACTGTGAACATAAATTGTACACTTCAACTTTACTACAAATGTTTGTTTAATCATTTTTAAAAATACATTTTTACAATTCGCTTAGCAACGCTTTTTTTTAAACTGATCTGCCTACTACTGAATATATATCTCTCTGAATAAGTAGCGTTTATTCTGTGGTTTTCGCGAGAATTCGAATGACAGGTGCTTGAACTGCTAGGTTGGTTTTACAGGCGGAAAGGAAGTTTTTGTTGATTTTGAACTGTTTTGTATTGGGCCATTTAACAATTTGTATAAGATTTAAACTTTATGTTCTTTCTTTTCGCATCCCATTTACCCCTATATCCATGCGTATCTAAATACCAGTCGTAATTTATTCCTTAGAGTCGTAGATATTTCTATACAAAGCTACACGATCTAAATACATCTTTTTTGTGGTAGACTGTTTGAAATAATTTTGAGACCGTATTAAATACATCATACCGGCTTACTTTTAGAGCTGTACCGTAGGCCGTTTACATCCTACCTACCGGAAACAGAATTAAAAAATGTATTGATTTGAATTACGTAATTTATAGGTAACAAAATGGCGGCCATTCTACGACGCAACACTAGCGCCATCCATGGTATTACCTCAAGCGTGACGTGTATTCTTCTTCTAGCGTCTGTGTTGGTGCATTTCGTCGTACGATGACGGTAAATTGTTAAGGAGTTTTTTCTTTAAATGTTACTTTTGTGAAAATCTTACTGCCAAATATTTTGAAGCGTTTGTAACAAGTAACGATACGTAAGTTGGCAGGAATTGCGCAGAAATACTTTAAAACACCATTATATTGATTAAGAATTTTATATAATTTATGTAATTATTTAAATAAAACATTAATTAATAATCTTATTCGCAAGCTTAAGGCGGTGAGACAAATGAGAGATGACAATGACATGTCGAATAATTTGACAGTTCAGTACATTAAGCCCACAGATCGCATTGACGATTATAAATTTAAAGTAAAACTAGACGCAAAATCATGTCAAGTTTCGTACCGATATAAGAAATTTCATAAATATTGATGTGATCCTTTTCGTTTAAAATAACTCAATTAGTTTTGAAGGCTACAGCAATTAATTCTATTTTATTCTTAGTTTTAAAATTTTAATGTTCCATCTATAGACTATAATACGAATAATCTTTCTACAAGTGTTTCTATGATGAATAAATGTTGAGTTAGTTTCCTAAGCAAAATGTGAACGCTAAATACCTATGTATTTTAACTTTATAGATATGTATGAATAACATTTTGGTATGAAACAGTGTGGTGGAATAAGGTTGTTACCAGCGTTTTTGTCAGTGGTTAACATACTAGAGTCGTAGCTAAATCGAAGATATGTTTTATGTGTTAATTATTTTCTTTAATACAGAACCAGAAACCTTTCGAATATCAGGTGTTTTGACTCTTACATCCAAACTAACTGAGATAATGTTATTCGAAAATTTTCTTGTTTTGCTACTTTAATTCCCAATTGGAATATATTTTTAATTTTTACAGAGTAAGCTTTTATATGCAGTCTGTGCTCGGTTACACTCCTGCATAAAAGTGACATTTGTTTTAATAAGGTAACTATCAATATTGTTTAAAGCAGTATATTATATCCTTTAAAATTATCAACCTCTGTACATATGAAACTGCGTTATTGTACATGGACATAACACTAAAGTTATACGTAAAAGTAGATATTGTAACGTAGGTAGTAACTGAAATATTAAATTATACATACGTTAACATTATTTGAGATATTAGAATAGATTGAAATTGTATTGGGTTGGTTTTCTAATTTTCTAATTGTTTATTTCGTAACAACAAAGGCTTTGTTGAGTGAGTAATTTAGTCCCTTTAGTCAGAGGCGATTAACCAAGTAAATGAAAAAAATGTGTTTATTCATCAAAAACAACTTTATATGTAAGATTTAGGAATCCTTTTAAGTAAAAAATACCTGTGTCAGGGTTCCTAGCTATTCCATAACATTATCTTCCACAGTCCGTTTCTCTAGGCGTTCCTTAATGCGAACTGGTGAGCTGTGGACACAGTACCCAGTGGAGGTCGTTTCTAGGAGATGCGACCTCCAATCTACCACCCCTCACGACGCGACAATCAACATTTTTTTGTAACAATAGGGACGTGAGCGATCATAGTGTCCGGTTGTAAGTCATGCAAGTTTTAATTTAAGTAGAGTAAGAAATTCATAGTTTGTACTCCAAAATGTTTAAAATTTGAAAACCAATCATTCCTAGTGAACCTAGTTATAATTCTGTAAAATACATTTTTGATATCACTGTACATAGTCACCGTATTGCGTCAATTGTGTACAAATTTGACAATTTACTTGTTTTGATAGCCAATAAAAAATTGATTTTCTTGCACAGAACTCTCCAAATTAACTAAGAAATTTCGATATTTCCTTTTCAAAACACTATCTTAGATCTTCCTATTTGCGATGTACCTCAAAAATTCCAAAGCTATTTCCAAGTAATTTGTGGGCCTAGATCGAATGTTTCTTTTATTGAAATTACTAAGGTTTATTTGATTTTAAAACATTTCGAAGTAGACCCTGAAAAAATTTTCAATCTTATTCAGCTGTCAATATAATTACTATATTCCAATCTTCCAATATATTGTTGAATTCATTTTTAATAAAAAAATTATAGGTTATTTTTATATTTGTTTTTGCGCCAGTTTTCTTTCTGATATTTCTAATATGATGCATTCTGTTTTGCGGTCGTTGACAGAATGGATATATTTATTGGCCCTTCAGAAAATATTGTGCAAAAAATGTTTAATATAGTTTTCAGAAGCGCAACATGAAAGTAGGTTTACGCGAATTCCCAGGAAATAAAATGTAGGCTAGATTTAAACTTAGCAATAAGTATTATGTAAACTTGACTTAAAAATCAAGTATTAATTTCTCATGTTTCTTGGAAAACAATTGGTTTAAAAAAAAACATTTCAGTTAGTAGTTGATCGTACAAATAATTTACTATACCTGTGTTAGTTGTTTAACTTATCCAAGAATATTTTTTTAAATCTACGGTGTGATAATATAATATTTGAATTTAACCTGAATTATATTCTAAAAAATGTTTTGTAAATAATTATAGTAATGTAAATAACTTGTCAGTGTTATTCAAACTATTATTGTACAAATAATTTTGGTGATTCTGTATGCAATAAAGATTTCTTCGGATGAATGGTGTTTTTAATCTTTGGCTGATATTTGAAGTGAAACGTCTTTACGCGCATGAGGGTAAAATTTTTACTGATGAAACGCAATAAAAATAATATTAGCGTCACGAAGATGTGCAGCGTTTTTGTCAAAGAAATAGGAGAGAGCGATTGAGACCAATTGAGAGAGAGTGAGAAGGGAGAATTAACTTATAGAAATTCTATTTTTAAAATTAATATTTCGTAAAGAGAATTTATGAAAAATATTAGTATTTTATATTTTATGCAAAATAATTTTGAAATCTCAAATGACGAATTGTAAATTAAAATGCCACGTGTTTTTATTATCAAAGAAATAAATTTAACAAATAAAATTTATATTAAGTAACTTTCGACACTTTTAATATTTTAATGACCATTAAATTCCTAACATATCTTCCTTTTTCCCTCCCTCTAAGTCTCGTAAATCTAAAGTTTTAGATTTGTATAAATATGAACAAGACTTAAAAATTCGTTTGCCAAAGCAGTTTCACTTCTGACATGTGTACTTTCTACGCGCGCACATTTTCATTTTCGCGCACACTTATTTTAGTTGTCGAAGTCATGAAATGTAAGGGTTTGCTAAAAGAAACCTTTTATCGCTAAAGCTACAGGCGGCAAACATATTAAACATAACACACAATTTTATATTTTATCAAAAATGGGCCCAACTCGGCTTTAAAGTTGCTGTCCAGCAATACTGATTTTCAGTGGACCCCCAAACAATTTTTTTTTAAATAAAATAAAAATATTTGAAAATAGGAAGAAAAAATCAAAATACAAACTACAAACAACAAACAAACGTAGAACATAAATGCTGAAACATCAAAAACCGCGACCCAAAACTTTTCCTTTGGGAGTCAAAACAATTCAGCGTGCCGTTCGATTGTCATTCAACAGCATCTACAGTCTAATAGTCCAGTCAAAATAGGCATTTAACTTAGCCAAAATTCGCATAGAGCTGAAAATAAGCAATATTACTATTCTTTCAATTAATAGGATACGATCTGGTCAAACTTTCTTTATTAGACACTAAAATAGATCGTGGGGTTTACGCTACGCACATTACCTCATAGGTGGTGTGGAAATGTTGCATATTGGATTGAATTTTCTAATGATTAAAACCGCGATATCTCATGAAGGTGAGTCGTAAGACAAAAAGTCAATAACCATTTTTGAAGAAATTGTATGGTCTACAACTTTTGTCTGATCTATTCACGAATCTACTGTTTTCGAGAAAAATGGAAAAAACCTTAATTTTATACTTGTGACCTTGAATAAATTTTTTTGCAGAAGTAGGATCGAAGGGGATTTTTGACATTGCACTTATAATGATGTATTTAACGTCTCTGCCAATTTTCAGCTCTATGCGAATTTTGGCTAAGTTATGACTTATTTTTGTCTATTTTTACTGGATTCTAATACGTTGACACGTGACACGACACGATATCAACAATCATTGGCAGCAGGTTAGAAAGGAAATTCCATAAAACACAATAATTACACAGTACACTAAAGTTTAAAGGAAAAGAATTTAACGTAAAAGAATATGAGAGGCGTAATATGTTGGCATGAACCGTTCGCTGCTTGCGCTAAAGGCTTGTATTCACTTTGATTAGTGCGAGTGCAAGTGATTAGTAATTGAGGATGATTAGTGCAGTTGTGTCCAATTATTGTTTAGTGGCTCTGTTAAGTAAATTCAGTTGTCAATAGTTAAGCAGGCACGCTGCGAGTGAGTAGGAAGGGAGGGCGCACGCGACGTCACGTTACTCGCAAAAAAAAGAACACGTTTTTAATCACTTTACTACGCAGCCAACTAATCACCTGCACTAATCAACTTTGATTAGTGATTTCATATTCCTTAACGCCTTTAGTACACCTACGCAATCGCATGACGAAACGACGAAAAAAAAAAGGGGGGGGGGGGGGGTTGGGGGGGGGGTTTTTTCCCCCCCCCAAAAAAAAAGAAAGAAAAAAAAGGTGCGCCCTTGTCGGTATTGCTTTCGCAAGTAACTGCGAACATGGCTGTTACACAGACGCAGGCGTTTCGCTACTGGAGTTTCGCATCGCAAGGTCAGCGGGGGCCACCAGGAGTTCTGTCAGTGAGGACAAAATTTCGCACAATGGAACCGAAAATATTTTGAATTATTTTTGATTTTGTTTCGGAATTATCGCCGAATTATATTTAGTTGGGCATGTTGATTACAAAATCCTCTTCAGAATCCTGAAAGCGACGACTGGGGACGACTCCGATGACATTCTGAAACGACGTCTGCACCTACAGCCCACGAAAGCTACAATGACATATCCTTGCGAAAAACCTGCAGTGTACTAACGTTCCGCAGATATTTCGCTACCGCAATTATTTCGCAAAGATTCGCAGCCGCATACGAACGCGTAGGTGTACTAAAGGCGTAAGCCTTAAGGCCAGCTAGCTACCGACGCGCCTGTGTGGCGATCAATCACCGAATAATATAAATCAACAAACCAAACCAAATTTTAACAAAAAATATTCTAAAGAGTTTATATTTCAAGTTCTACAGACAAGTTAAAAAGAAAAATCAGAATTGTCAAATGGCCCTATGTAGAACTGAGCATGCTCCAAACACAAACAGACACATAGTACATATAAAAGAATTAGTAAAAAAACATTGAAGATTATGTTTACTTTACTTTGATTTTGCAAGAAATGAAAGGTTTTTTTCAAATTTATATTTATTTAAGTTAAAGATACCCCCAGTTAAAATGCCCATTATGTATGGTCAAAAAAAGGAAAGAACTGGTACTTTTATGAGCTCTTATCCATGTTACGAAGTAGTCATTCCACTTTCTAGCTACGGCATACATAGGAAAATAAAACGATTTTTGATTCAACACATTATATATTTCAACTTATAGACTATTTCATATTACAGCTCAAAGTAATTTCCAAAGCAATCAGTGTTTAATCGATTAACAATACATATTTCCACATTCAAAGTGTCATTCGCATTTGGATAAAAATCCCAGATTAAAACGCGTTTCATTATAACAATACCGTGCTACTAATAACCAAAACATTATCCATACAAAACCCATTTCTCTATATAACAAAAATAAATAAAAAAATTGTTCTACTTATTCTATATTCATAACGAACGGTTATCCGTATCATGGTCTTGTTGTTTAATTAGATTCCAATAATGTCCTTTTTGCTTCTTCAATTGGTCATGAGTTCCCATCTGTAAATTGTTAAATGTAATTAAATTTTCCCGCCTTTTTAATAGTCATTGTCAATTTTAAACATATTGCTCTCTCGGTCTCGAAGGCACTCTCTCTCACACACTGTTCGCCCTCGTTGTTTGTTTATGTAATCGGAGGCAAACGGGCAGGAGGCTCATCTGATGTAAAGACGTCCGTGGACACTCACATTGCCAGAAGGCTCGCAAGTGCGTTGCCGGTCTTTTAAGAATTGGTACGCTCTTTTCTTGAAGGACCCTAAGTCGAATTGGTTCAGAAATAATTCGGTGGGAGGCTAGTTTACAAGTATCAAATAAAAGCTCAAATAATTTGTCCGTTTTATTTTTACAGTAAGCTAATTATGAATTGGGAATATTTAAAAAAAAAATATTTTCATCTTGATCACAAATATCAAAATAATATTTAAGGTGGTATACACTGATAATTGTATGATAACGTCATATATCTAGATATATAGAAAACGGCGGCAAATATTTACAATCACCAACTTTGGCGTACACGTACTGGACGTCATTTGGCGTATACGTCTTTGTAGAAATCACGAATGAAAATGATTAAATAATGTAAAGGGAAAAAATACAATAATAAAATCAATTTTTATTTTCTTTATATAACGATAAAAAATGTCTAGTTTCTAATGAGTTTATAATAATTTAGTAAATAAATCATATGGGTTAATACTCCACTTACTTCAACAACACTTCCTTTGTTTAACACCACAATTAGATCCGCATTCATAATTGTCGAAAGTCGATGCGCGATCACCAACACTGTGCGCCCCTTCGAAGCTGTCTCAAGCGCCGTCTGGACCACTTTCTCACTCGTTGCGTCTAACGCACTGAAAACAAACGACATTACTACGTTTATACGAAAATGATTGGATTCGATTGTTATTGGTCTAATTTCTCCGCCAACACGTGTTGACACGCGCCAGGACACTTCTAACGTGTGTACTTATTGTACACGCGTTAGAAGTTATACTTCTTTGGCGTAACAAGATAAAAATCTTTTCAAAAATTTTATCTTTCGCCTTATTCTACGTTTGTAGAAAAAACGACACTAACAATAGAAAAAATTTACTGTCATCATTTTTCCCTAACGCGCCAAAAGAAGGATAGCTTCAAAACTAAAATGTTGACTATAGCTAACTTCAGGGTGTCGGTTTTTTGTGACGGTGTGCGCGCGCATGTTAATAATTTACTCTCATCATTTTTCCCTAACACGCCAAAAGAAGTAAAACTTCAAAAGGCATAATCAATTATTATGCTAACATCATTTTAGTGCATAAGAAGAACCAACTTAAATTAATTTTATTTTTCTTTTATTTATTTGTTTCCTTTTAGTATAAACATAGAATTACCTAGTAGCCTCATCTAGTATCATAACAGGTGGGTCTTTCAAGACAGCTCTGGCGATAGCAATGCGCTGCTTCTGCCCTCCGCTGAGCGACATTCCCCTTTCCCCAACCATCGTGTCGTACCCATCCGGGAAGTTGCGTATGAACTCGTCCGCGTTTGAGGTTTGTGCGGCCCGGTATACCTGAAAATGTTTACATTATTATCTATTGAAAACAAATTTTTTTGTTTTTATTTTTTTATGCATGCATACAAAAATACATACAACCCTTAATTTTCATCTACCCACTACGATTAACCCATATTTTGTCTTTGTTAGTTAAGAACTTATAACTTGAACTCTGAGGTTTATATAGAGAAAAATCACAGAAAAACCTAAAAAGTTTTCATTCCGGAAAACCGAACATTTTCTGGGGTAGCATAGCAAAATGTTCCATGTTGGTATTTACTAAAAAGGTAGGCTAAGTAAAATCACATTAAGGAGAAACGAATATATATTTTTTTAGGCATGCGTGTGCTAAACACGAACTCAGGTCCATTATCTAATTCATATTTCAACTGTTCAACGCTGTCAAATGTGTCAAACTTCATACAGAAAAAATCGTTTGACAACTCTTAAAACCAGATTTAAGTTTGATTTCCACATAATCTTACCTCTGCATCAGTGGCATCCGGTTTTCCATAACGAATATTTTCTTTAACCGTAGTTGCGAACAACACTGGCTCTTGGCTAATCAGCCCAATGGCGCGACCCCGAAGCCAGTTCCCATCCATCTCGCGTATATCCACGCCATCTATGGTCACTTTACCCTTATTTACATCGTAGAACCTGTAATTTTTTTAGTTTCTTAAACATTTCATAGATGGCGTTTGAAGAAAATCCTTGGTCTTGGACAAAGATTTTGTTTGTTTAGTTCCTGACGCATGCTGACTTTTTGGGTCTATGGGATACTGATTTTTTGCGATGTTTTCCTTCACCATACAAGTGAGTAATAAATTTGGTCATGGAAAGACAACTCCATTGATGTTATATGTAAAACTCAGATTAGAGTCACACGCCCAAGCCAATAAGACAATACTGCTATTTTAAATTTTCATACAATATTGGTTCGTTCTATAGAATTTAATAATAAATTAAATGCATGTACGATTACGAAATAATTTGCTAAAAATAATATCAATATTGTAATGAACACATTGTGTAGAACTCTTCTTAAAATCTGAGAAACAACACCACTGTTCATACATAAACTACGAATAAGTCTTCGATATTACTAAAGAACAGCTGTAATAACACTTTCTATAGAAAAATCACGGTTAATATTTTGAATATAGAAACCGGATAGACAATAATAAATTACCTCTCCAATAAAGCGGCGATAGTAGACTTCCCATTTCCGGAACTACCGACTATTGCAACTGTCTTCCCCGCTGGTATTTTTAAATTGAACTTATTTAATACTACCTGAAATTCATAAATAAACATCTCGCACAAAAGAATTCTATCTTCGATAACGGTTATAGAGATCGAAGTATCATACGCGTATGACCCGTGTGGCCAGTATAATGCGTAAATACGTTCCTGTACACTTCTATAATATTTCAATTAAAGGTAGATTGAAAATGTTATCAACTGCAGATGACATAGCGCAGGAGATTCTTCCTGCGTGAGCTGTTGTTATAACAACCCAACCCAATTCTCAACGTTCCTACGATATTTAATATGCAAAGATTAATCGATTATATAAAAAAATCCTAAAACATATTGAATTAATTGCCAGTTCTCGTCCATTCTATATTCCTTTGATTTGAGAACTGGCAATAATTTAAATTTAGAAGCATTTAATTTTTCAACGTACTACTGAATATGTGAATATTTTGTTTTTTGTGTTTAAAAAATACTTACCGCATCGGGTCTGGTCGGATATGCGAAGGTGACATCTTTGAATTCTATGTCACCATGAAACTCATGATATTTGATTGTCTTTGTACCTGATGTGTCCATTTGAGGCTCCTTGTTTATGTACTGAATATTTAATATACACAAACTTTATATATCTTATAGTGGGTACCATAAATTATAGAGTTAAATAATATGGTTTTTGCACAGATGCTCGTAATATTTCATGTTTTTTTTTAAACTAATAAATGTTTTCTGTATGGCATATTTCTTTTATAGAACAGAGGCCAAAGAGGCAGAAGGCTCACCTAGATGTTAAGAGATACCGCCGCCCATGGACACTCTCAATGCCAGAGAGCTCGCGAGTGCGTTGCCGGCCCTTTAAGAATATCTAAGTTTAAATTACTTTAATACAAATTTCCATTGTGGTAAAGCGTAAACATGAAATATTTTAAAACTTTTGTATGCGTTTTTTATCTTTTTCTAAATAAACATTTTATTCAGTATAAAAAAAGCTATCTTCATTTAAAGTTCTTTCCCTCAGAGGGCTTGAAACATATGCACATTATTTTGCTATTGTAGAGTGAACAACCTGTGGGACTTACCTCAAAAACCCGTCCTCCAGCACTAATGCCCTTAATGACAGATCCAAATAGCAATGATATTTGTGCCACCGACCGTTGTATAGTCTGTGCATTCACAAGAAACGCCATGACGTCACCCGCTGACATCTGTCCGGTTGACATTAGGTGACCACCCAAAAACATTGTTCCTAGCACCATACTGAAATTTTTATCATTTATAATACAAATAACTAATTTATTTGCTACCTTTTTGCGCATTTATAATAGAAGTATTTAAAAAAAATTAAGCCGACTTCAAACAACTTTTTATATCATTAACTTGGTACCTATTATCTATGTTCCCGGCAGAATGCGTGCAAGCACATCTCAAAAACTTATCCGATACAAACGATAAAACATACATACAAATACGAAATTTAGCACACGTGCTTGAAAGCCTTTTTCTAATAATAGCCCATCATAGTCAATTCCAACTTTATAACAAACTCCTTTTTTGAAGTCGGTTAAAAAACAAGAATACGCAATATAACAAAAAAATTAAAGCAACCGGGTCGTTACTTATTTAAGGGCCTTACTCATAGTTCTACATTATAAAGATCTATGCTGAATTATTTAAAACAAAGATCAGCCCATAGGTTTGCACCTACTTACTGCACTAATATACATATTTAAACAGACTAAACTATAAACAATAGACGCATATAAGCCGCATTTAGATCAAGCGTTTTTTTAATATCTAGAAAGCATACAAAAAATATTCCGACAAAATTTAGCATTTTTGAAGAGAATTAAAAATATATTTGTAAGAAATAAAGTGAAGGTACTCCAAATAGAATTACCCATTAAGAAACAAATTAGTGCCCGCCTGGAAAAGTCCAACGCCCAACCCCAGTTCCATACTAAGATTTGCAGCGGAATCGCATTCTTCCGCGAACATTTGCGCCTCATTCTCTTCACCTGCAAACGCTCGCACTGTTCGCATATTCGAGATCGCTTCTTCTGCTACTAAAGTTGCTTTTTCTATCTAGAAATAAGTTTTTATTAGAATTGTAAACATATAATTCAATTATCAGTAAAATATTTCGGGCAAATCCCGCTGTCAAGTAATGGCGGGAGACGCGTAAGTCATTTCACAATTTGACACTTCGATAGATGATAATCGAAAAATAAAGTGTTAAATTGTCATATGTATCATAATTTGTTAACAGTGATGTATTTTTTTATATTAGATTTTTTAGATTAGATATAATAAATGAAGCAAATATAAAAAAAACCAAAAAAAGGGACAAACACACATAGCTCAATGTCAGTGATATTCAACTTTTTACTTTTCTTTAACATAGCCAAATTCTTATTTTTAACTACCAAATACAAACATCAATTATGCTATAATATGTTATTTGATGTTTATAAAATATTTTTTAATTTATTGGATATATTACGTATATATAACTTTTTAAAATAAATTGAATAAAATCGAACCTGAGACTGTGCTTCTCTGGATAATTTCCTCAATAGTGATCCAATAAAAGTCCCTCCAATAACAACTGTGGGTACACATAGCATTGTGAGACCCGTTAACTGAGGTGATATTACTAGGAGACTCACTGCCGAACCCACAACCTGCAAAGTACATATAAAATTATAGTCAAGGGTGTAAATTAAATTAGCCTAACTACTAAAGTTTTTAAATCCATATTATTACTGAGCAAGGTGTAATGGTTGAAACTCCTTAGAAGCATCTTCTAAAATAAAATATAAATAAAAGAGAGGCTGAGTTTCTTGCCAATTGTTATTGATTTGAGAATTTGCAATTAAAATTGGCAATGTATATATTATAGTAGTCACATAGTGACGAACATGTTTTAATCCAAAATTTTTCTATGTATATTGTTTTAACAATTAAATTATCCAAATAAAAGTGTGTACCTGTGTAATAGCTCTAAGTCCACCTGATATTGTTTGCTTAAATGAACTCTTGAAATCTTGTACATCAACAGTTATTCTGAAATTACACCAAAATAAACATTTAGTTTCAACTTTTTCTTTGCATGCCAGCGTGAAAATCAATTTAAGAAAATATAGTAAGATAAAAATTAAAAAAATAATATTTATTTATTGTTTCAAGAATTTTTAAATTATTTTTGTTAATTTTATAATTACTGGCATAGCGCAAAGTACATTTTAGTATGCTATTATTTACACACCTATTAACTAATTCTCCAGTCCTTTCCTTATCAAAAAAAGCCATGTCTTGATTTAAAATAGACACAAATAGATCCTGTTTCATTTGTGCCGCTACTTTTTCTCCTACTTGTGCTAACAGATGTATATAGAAGAATGTAAATAAAGCCTGAAAAATGGTACATTTCATTATATATATATTCAGAATTTATAGCTATAGGAATTATGTAATATAAGTGATTCAATACTTTGATCTTCAAATTGATTACTATAGATATTATTAATGTGTAAAATCAACCAGTAATAAACTGACAAATTGTAAAGCTTACCTGTCCGATATATAAAGAGACCATTTTAAAAGCCGGATATTTGATCTGTTCAATGAAGTCAAGAGATGGATTGTGTTTTAACTCAGCTAATATATTAACAATCACTCCTAACATAGCTGGAATATATATATTCAGGAACGCCACTGTCATAGCTGACTGCAAAGAACAATTTTTGTTTAATATGTATGTAATGAAAACATTTTTTTTATATTTTTACTGTAAATTATAATTACTCTTACATAATATTATAATTTAACAACCTTGAACTACTTAGCAGAAAATAGGTGTATAGATAATGAACACAATATATTGTTTAAAAATATTAAAAGAAATTGATATTAATAATAATTAGCTAGTTCTCACTTCCTTTCTCATACATGTATAGATAGATACTTACAGCTACTGCAGCAACCAACAACCATTTATGAGGTTTAAGGTATTCAAAGAACTTTGACCAGTCAAACCTTCCACTATCATCGAGAACATTTGGTCTTCTTTGTATAATTCTAGAGTGAGTTTGAGCTTTACAAAATACTGTTTCACTTAAAAATAAACGTGCGCCTAATCCTACACTGATGCCTGTACAAAGTTTCCAAGGGGCGATTTGAAAAACTTTAAGTTCATTTTCTGTACAATTCTTTGAAATATATCTTTTCACCGCATCTGAAGGTTTCGTTTTTAATAAGTTCAAGTAATGTCCATTACTCCTAAAAGCAGTAAGCCTGAAAACATTCTCATTATAATTAAAGAATTTCCTGTTTAATTTAAATGTACAGTTATCTAACCACAACTTTGTTTGATGAAACAATTACTAACCTTTGTCTTATTAATTGGCAGGACTGTGAATTTAATAAATGCCACAT